CAAATCTCGTGTGCATACAGCATGGAGTTGACCTCGAGTACGAAGTGCGAGACCGAATTGTTGTCAGAGTTACTTATTGACAAGAAGTCCACAACAAATGATGTTTTCGTCGTGTCGCGCCCCTCGACTTTCGCAATGGCTGTCGCCGAGAATGCCCGGTCGTTGACCTGGACGTCGGCCATCGCCGCCGTGCCTCTCATCTGGCTTGCTCTGGCGAGGCTCGTATCGCCGACATTTGACCCTCGAGAGCCACCGCCGCTCTGGCCGACTTTCCCCATCATAGGGCACATTGTGTCCATCCTCCGAGAAGCGGCCAGCTTCTACCCGAGACTCCTGTAAGTCAATGCCCCAATTCCCCAGAAAGAGGTCTGATCTCTGTCATGTAGCAAGGAGAAAGGCCTGCCGATTCTGTCCCTGCCAGTCGTCAACAAGAAGATCTACGTCATCAGCTCTCCGGGACTCATCGCCGCGGCCATGAAGAATCCCGACCTGACGTTTGAGCCGTTTCTGCTTGAGCTGTCGGCGGGCGCCATTGGCATGACACAGAAGCATCGCGATATCGTCTCGAGGGACGGCAACATCGACAAGGGGATGGACCTGACGCGGCTCTGTCTCAAGGGGCAACCTCTCGCCAAGTTGAACGTGGCTGCCCTGGACGCACTGGCCGAACCGCTCCATGCAATCGATGACGGTCAGGATCTTGTCGTTCCTGACGTTTGGAATTGGATCCGAGACGTGCTGGGTCAGGGAATCTCGAAAAGTCTCTTTGGAGAGAAGAACCCCCTGACCAAGGAGCTCTTTGCCGACATTTCGTGAGTTCTCCATAATGGGTGGCCGTGTTGCAGCAGCTGATGTGTCCAGTGTATACGAGGCAGGCCTCCCACTCCTCGCCCGGGGGTACGATCTTTTTGTCCCAAAGTCCGTGGCAGCACGCAAAAGAATCGTCACGGCGCTGCAGCGGTACTACACAGCCCGACATGACGAGGATGAGACGGCTTCGGACTTTGTACGTGGTCGCGCGTCTCACTGGCGACAAGCGGGGGCCACGGATGAAGACGTCGGGGTTCTTGAGCTGACAACGCCATGGGCCGGGTCGACAAATACCGTTCCTTCATGTGCGTGGTTCTTCCTCAACATCTTTTCGCGTCCGGATCTTGTCGCGCGTATCCGCGCCGAGGTTGAAGCCTTCTCGCCCATCCTCACGAGCGAAGACGGCACCAAAAAGTGCACCATGGATGTTGTCAAGCTCGAGAGCAGCTGTCCGGTCCTTGGCGCAGCGTACCGTGAGACCCTCAGGATATACCAGAACAACCTGGGCATGAGGCGAGTCGTTCGGGACACAACGCTGAGAGATCCGGCAGACGGGCGGGAGTATCTCCTCCGCGAAGGCGTGGACGTGCACTGGCAGTCCCTCGTCACACACACTCTCCCGACGGTGTGGGGGGAGACGTGGCAGACCTTCGACCCCGAGCGGTTCCTGGACGTCCCCTTGTCGGAAGAGAAGAAGCGTAGGGGCGCGAGTATTCCCTTTGGAGGAGGGAAGCATCTGTGTCCGGGTCGTCATTTCGCGCTGGTCGAGAACCTGGGGTTCGTGGCAATGTTAGCGGCGGGCTTTGACATTGAAGGCGTCTTGGTGCCCGACTCGAAAGATCCCATCATGGGGATTGGGTCGAGGAGGCCGGTCTGGGGCACTGCCAATAGGAGCATCAGGGTGAGAAGACGCCAGGGCTGGAAGGGGGTGACATGGTCGTTTGCATAGCTCGGCCAGGCCAAGGAAATAATGGAACGAGTATGAGATGCCACTGAGGTGAGACGTCGTTGCAGGTAGTGGGTGAAGTCGAGGAGAGGTTCGAGGTGGTGGGGAGGAGAGGTTTAGGTTCTGACTAAAACGGCCAACCACTGAAGACCGCTACGACAGCAGCCACTGGCCCCGGGAAGCTGCAGGGACCCGCTCCGAAACGGCCCCTCATTGGGGCCCTGGCCTGATCTTTAGAACCCCGATCGCTGCGCCAGTAGACTCTCGCCCGCGGATCGATGACGCGCGCCCCCCAGATCTTGGCTTCTTCTAGTTCGTCTGGATGCGAGATGAAGGAGGGCGCCCATCATCTCTCCCACACCACCTGTTCATTTGTCCTACCCGAGGCCACCTAAATCGACACCTTCTCTCGCGGAAGTGCTTTCTCTTCAGCACTCTCCTCCCACCTACCTACACACGACCTCCGACCTCTGCACCAGCCACCATCATGGCGACGGCACTCCCGCTCCTCGCCAAGCTCGAGGACTGCGCGAGCTGGAATCAGACCGTCGCGCCCTTCATCCCCCAGCTGTACGAGCTCCCCGCGCGTATCGCCGCGAATATCGGAAGCATCGACGGCCTGCGCCAGGTCTACATCGAGACGAACCCCCTCATCTCCGGATTCGCGGCGTCCCTCGCCCTGGCTGTCGTCTTCTTCCTCGTCGCAGAGTTCAACCGCAACTACTCTCAGGTCGACCGCGCATGGAGCCTCCTGCCCAACCTCTACGTCCTTCACTTTTGCCTCTGGGCCCGGCTCGCCGGGGTGGAGGCGAATCGCGTCGAGTTCCTGGCGTCAGCGACCATGGTTTGGAGTGTACGTGAGCCCGATCCCACAATCTGAAGCAACCAGCTAACCCCTCTCCTCCAGGCCCGACTCACGTACAACTACAACCGAAAGGGCGGCTACAACGTCGGCAGCGAGGACTACCGCTGGGCCATCGTCAAGTCGAAGGTCCCCGCCCTCGTCTTTGTCATCTTCGACCTCGTCTTCATCGCCGCGATCCAAAACGTCCTCCTCTTCGCCTTCTCCGCAGGCCCGGCCTACATCCTCATGCTCACCTCCAAATTTGAGCCCGAAATCACATCCTGGGACTGGGGATACATGTCGATCCTGCTGGGCCTCGTCTTCATGGAGTGGGTCAGCGACGGCCAGCAGTGGTCGTTCCAAGAGGCCAAGCGCGCGTACCTCCGTGACGCAAAGGTGCCTGCCAACGCTGGCTACACGCGCGAAGAGCTGGACCTCGGCTTCGTCACCACCGGCATGTGGGGACTCAGCCGCCACCCCAACTTTGCCGCCGAGCAGCTCATCTGGTTCATGCTCTACCAGTGGAGCTGCTACGCCGCCAAGGTGCTGCACAGCTGGGCCTTTGCGGGCTCAGCAAGCCTGCTTCTGCTCTTCCAGGGCTCGACGTGGCTGACCGAGGCCATCACGGCGGGCAAGTACCCGGGATACACCCACTACCGGCAAAAGGTGGGCTGCTTCATTCCGACGTCCATCCGGCCGTACCAGCCCAAGAAGCCCACTGTCATTCGCACCAGCGAGCTGGACAAGCGCTATGCTGAGAAGCAAAAGGCCAAGGGAAAGGGCAAGAAGTAGACAAGGGCATTTGCATAATCATGAACGTCATTGCGTCTGTAGCTGCATCGGGAGTCTAGACTCTAAGATCGATAGATCCGTCTAATGCATCGGCCTTCACTTTCTCTACACCCGCAAATCCGCGATGCCGTTGACGTAGTAAGCAGGCACCGCAACAGCATCGGTCTTTTCCCAATCCGCCTTGGCATTAACACCCGTCAGCACAGCAAGAGTGCCGCCGAGCTTCCCCTCAATGCCAAACTTGATATCCGTATCGAGACGGTCACCGATCATGCAGGTACGGGACCGGTCGAGGTGGAACTTTCCCTCCACAGCGTCCATCATGGCCTGACTCGGCTTGCCGAGAGCCAGGGGCTGGCGGCCGATCATGTTGATGAGGGGCACGCCGACACTTCCAGCACCGGGGAAGAAGCTGCCGCCCATGGGGAGGGTGGAGTCGGTGTTTGTAGCGAGGAACTCTGCACCACGGCGGAGGTAGGCATACGCCGTAGAGAGCTTGAGGTAGTTGACATGAAAGTCAAGTCCCGCAAGAACGCAGCCAACTTCCGGGTCAAGAGCCGAACCGTCAGCGATAGCCTCGAAATCAGCAGGCTCAATATCGCGCCGCAGAGCGGGGTCAGTGCCGCCGATGAAATCGACACCCTCGGCACGCAACTCGTCTTCAACTCCAGACTCGCCCAGGACAAACACCTTGCGACGGCCTTCGGGGAGGTTGAGGATGCGCGAGATGTAAATGGCCGCACTGTAGGCGGAGCCAAAGACATCCTCGGGGGTGCAGGGGATGTTGAGGCGGGCGAATTTCTTGTGGTAGTCTGGGCGGGATTTTGTCGAGTTGTTGGTTACGAAGACGAGGCGCTTGCCCTGGGCGCGGAGGGACTCGATGGCTTCGCGGACGCCGTCGAAGAGGTTATCGCCGGACCAAAGAACGCCTGGCGGTGTTAGGAAGTATTTCACAAAGGGATGTCGCAGGTCGTACCATCGCAGTCGATGAGGAATGTCTGGGGGAGTTAGTGAGAGGTCAGTGGAGAGGGGGAATGACGCACGTCAAACTTGTCGAGGAACTCTTGCGTGGCAGCCTTGTCGCCGCTGAGGAACTTGGAGGACTGAGCCATGGCTGCGAGCAGGAGGGATGGTGTTCGAGGGGTGGAGGGGTAAATCTGGTCGTGATGGTGAGGGAGTCAAGTCATGGTGAGAGCGGCTTCATCTTGACGTATTGAGCTGCTTAGTCACACTATTTGGTTGCGTCTCGGCTTTCTCTCCGGCCGGGACCGGCGACAGTCCGCGAGGGCGAATGGACTCGTCTATTGGTGTGAATGATATCATGGAAAACTGGAAGTGTTCGAAGCAGTTTGAGGCTTTTATTTGCGGCAGTGATTCCTGGCTGGTGGTGTGAAGCGCGATGCTGCGGGAGGATGTCTTGGTGCATCAAGAGCAGCCATAGATGTCCACCACAGTCATCGACGGCCGCCGTAGTCAGTTGACCTGTAATCAGTCGACCACCACTACAGTCAACTGACCGGTGCAGTTCATCGGCCGCTGCAGTCAGACAGGCCAACAAAAAGCTCAGCTTGGCTCATCCACCATCAACACGAGCAAAAACAAAACTATTGGTCACTACCAGGATCGAACTGGCGACTTTCGCATTTCAGAACACCATGTGGAACATGATGCGGTATTAGTACGACACTCTAACCAACTGAGTTAAGCGACCATTGGATATTGAGATGGAGAAGAGTCAGAAATCATGTTGGTGGTGGGTGATTAGAAGAGTGGGTGCAGTGTGGGTGGAGAGCATGATTCAGGGCGACAACCCCTCACCCGGGCGACTAGCCGGCTACTCGCCCAGATGCAACTTGACAAACTCCCGCTGCTTGCCAGCCCGCCCGCCAAAGCCCCAGCCGATCTGGTGAGCGACATTCACCTCAACACCCAGGTCGTCCGCCCACGCCCAGACCAGGCCTGGGTTCTTAAGGAACATGCGCCCCGAGGCGATCAGGTCCAGCCCCGGTCCCGCGGTGATGATCTCCTCCGCCAGCTTGCCGTCCTTGATGCTCCCCACGGCGCTCACGAGCAGACTGTCGCCCACAGCCTCTTTGATGGCCCGCGCAAAGTGCGCCTGATACCCCGGTCCACCCTTGACCTTTTGTGCGTTGTGGTTGCCGCCGCTGGAAACGTCAAGGACGTCGACACCCTCGCGTGCCAGGATCTTCGCCAGCTCAATGCTGTCTTCGCATTTCCAGCTCTCAGGAACATCGGCATTCTCCTCGAGCCAATCGGTAGCACTGATACGCACAAACAGAGGGGTCTTCTCGGGGAGGACCTTGCGGACTTCCCGTACCAGCTCGATAGCCAGCCGCGTGCGGTTCTCGAAGCTTCCGCCGTACTGATCGGTACGCTTGTTGACAGCGGGGGACATGAATGACGAGACGAGGTAGCCGTGGGCAAAGTGCAGCTCGATGATGTCGAAGCCTGCCTCGACGGCGCGTACGACAGCCGACACGGAATCGCGCTTGAACTGGTCAATCTCCTCGATGGTCATGGCGCGTGGGGTCGGGTAGTGTTCGCTGAAGGGCTCAGCACTTGGCCCGACAACATCGTCAGGCCAGCCGTTGGCTTCACGCACAGCGGTAGCCCCTGAGCTCAGCCAGGGGGCCACGGTCGAAGCCTTGCGACCCGCGTGGGCGATCTGAATACCGATCAGGGCGTTCTGACTGTGCGCAAACTCAACGTGCTTCTGCAGTGTGTCGACGTGGGCGTCGAGCCAGATGCCCGAGTCCTCCGGCGTGATGCGCCCGTTTGCTTGAACAGCCGTGGCCTCGAGCATGACAAAGCCGGGCTGGGAAGAGTTAGCCAAGTTCATCGCCATACATCCACACCACTTACCCCGCGCTGCACCATGCCGCCATAGTGGGCAATGTGCCAGGGCGTGTGGAAGCCCTCGTGGGCGCTGTACTGGCACATGGGGCTGACCCAGATGCGATTGGGCAGCACGACACCCCGGATCTTGAGGGGTGTGAAGAGCCGGGGGACCTTGGAGCCATCCTCAGGTTGGATCGCGGTGCCGGACGGAGGGTCTTGCTCGGGGGTGAAGAACGGCACATCCTTGGCGGCAGCGTTGATGATAGGAGCACTGCACTTCTTCTGCTTGGCGGGAGTCGGCGTCTGGGGGCGCGAGATGGGAATGCCGTGGTGCGGGTGGCAGATGCGTTTCTGGAGGTAGGCGGCCATGGTGTGGATCGGTGGAGCTGACTTTGGTGCAGTGCAAGATGCAGTGAAGGGTCGTCTTTGTTGAGACACGGCTGCCTTTTATGAACTTCAGGAAAGCACCCAAGTTCCAAGCTCCAAGCCGCGAAGCTGTTGGTGCTTACTGAGGGGTGCTGCTGAGGGGTACATTACTGAGGGCATCCGTGACGTAATGGACGGGTGTTCTCGAGCTGCATTCGCGACCGTTGTGACGCCGGCTTGCTGAGTATGTCTCCGTTGCAGCTAACCAACGGGGCGACACCTGTACCACGGTCTACTGTCGTGTCTGGTGGTTTGTGTAAGCATCTGGTGCCGAGCCTGGTCGGGCCGCGCTGCAGTCATCGGATGCGATCTACAGCCATCTGCAAGCGGCCTGGTTAAGCTTTGGGGTTAGCACCACCTCATGCGGGCAGCACCAGCGCCATTGAGCTTCTGTATGTTTCATTCGTGGGCGTGCGGGTGTCTTTCGGTGGCTGTCGGTGACGACTGTCGAGTGTTGAGGGGTCGAGGGATGGAGGCTTGGCCAGGACATGCCGCCCCTTTTTCGCTCGACTTCTTGGCCGGCCTCTGTACGCATAGCTTCTTGCCCTGCCCCCTTTCTGTGAACTCGTGGCCCAGCCGACGCGCTGCATTGGCACATGTGCGAACACGTTTGACGGATATTTTGGCTATAATTGCCCGTTTGGCTAGTCGGACGGCAGACTTCGTGCCGTGGTGCCGTGGTGGTGCCGGAGGAGAAATACGATGCGTCTAGGTGGTCGTGTCAGCATAGGCCCTTGCCTAGGAGATGATGACTCGGACTTGCCTGATTCGAAACTTCCATCTTTCAATCCCGCCTGAGCATCTGGAAATACTTCTGGGCCTCGGTGGATGCATCTGAGCGCGGCGCGGCGTTGGTGGTCATCGTCGGGGCGGCCAGCCGACTCCATGACAGCCCGAGGTCCCACCTCATCAGAGTTTCGAGGTGTCAGACTGGTTTGAAGAAATCCATCGACGAGCACATGGATCGAAATGGATTGTTATGGGGGGAAGAGAGATGCAATCGTCGAGTGTCAACCTCTTGACGATTCAGGCTGTGCTGACTGAGGTGCGTGGTGCAGGTGGTGTGGTGGTCGAGCCCCACCCGAAGTCGTCGAGAGACGGGAGCTTGGTGAAGGAAGGAGCGACTTTGTCCAACCTTCTGTACCTGCCCGATTGAGCATGATGGCATGGAATGTCATGATGGCTTCGAACCTTTCGAGCTGCGTCACCTTCGAAGGTCCTCCTCTCTCTCCCATCCCTTTGATATCGGCGGACACCAGTCAATGCGTCGAGCAAGCAACCGCAGACAAGCCACCCATGTTGAGTTGGCATCCATGATTATTATTAAAAGCATAAGTCGTTACGCTGAAAAGCCAGCCCATCCTCCCGAGAACTTGCAGGCTCTGCCTCAACACAACCAAGCCCCTCCCCTCCCGGTCGTCACCTCGCCAACCCATAGCATGCCAACCGCGCCGTGCTCAACCCCGTCGCCGGTCGAATGATCCCCGCCAGATCAACATCCGACTCGTACCCGTCATCGTCATCGAGGTATAGGATCGAAAGCGCCGGCAGAACCGACTCGTACATGCTGAACTCGACCTCGCCGTGCCGCAGCTTGGGGTGGATGGCCGTGTCAAAAGATGTCGGGACTCCTTCAATCCTGGGCCAGTCCTCCTCGTCCATCTCGACAATGACCTCAATGGCCGCAAGGGTGTGCAAAGATGTCGCCTTCTTTTGAATACGCTGCGTCTTCTTGTCGTTGATTTGCTTGGGCGGCGGCGTCTGCGTAGAGGCGTGCTTGACGTGCGCCTCTTCCAGCTCAATTGGCGTTCCGTCGAGCTCGGCAATGACAACACCCTCATCTTCTACCACCGTCTGTCTGTCCTTCTCCGCCATCATGCGGTCGTTGAGGTCGTCCAAAAGGTTGCCGTGCCCGACGAGCCGCCGAAGATCGGGATCAGCCCTGTCGAGCTCGTGGCAGAGGTTGTTCTGCGCCCTGTAGGCGATGAAGTACATCTTGGTAAAAGACATGGAAAGAGGTTGTGTCATGATCTCGAGGGCATGATGATGTTTTTCCAGGTGTGATGTCCAGGGATGAAAACCTGGAACAAAACGCCAAGGGAGAGGCCATCATATAGCCTTTTTCAACACCGTCATCACAGCTGGTGGAAGAGGGGGCCCAGAACAGAGCGCGGTCGGTCCAGTCCCTGACGATCGCCCAAGGTCGAGCTAGCCCACACTGACGCAGAGTTACAGTTTGTTACCCTCTCCAGCCCGGCCGTGGCCTGATGTTCTGACGTGCTACGCGGGGGGAAATACCGACTCAGCCGCATCGAGCCTCCCGCTGGGCCCCGCGCCAACGTTGCTCATGGCGGCGCGCGAACCCTAAAACGGCCATCTCGCGCCCAATGCTCTGGATGGCCAAGAGCAGCCTTTTCTTTGTCTCGGGGTCGAGCTCGGGCAGAACCATCTGGTGTTTTGGAATAGGGACCTCTCAGGGAGTTTTGACCATCAGCTCTGGACCCTGGACCCCAGCTCTGGCCATGCTGTCGGGTCCAGGCACATGGACAGAAGATGGAAATCCCCAGAGTCGTCGTAATTTGGCCGGTGCCAAGGACTGAAGTCTCCGGTAGTCGCGGCTCTCACCGGGCCTTTTAGGTTTTGCCAACCGCCACACAGCCAAACCCGGCGATTTGGACCACGAGCCACTCGCCAGCCATGTGCTGTTGGGTTCGGCCATGGCCGAGGAGCTGACGCATCCTCTTTTTAGTGTTGGAACTGTCGATAGGGGAACGCAGCCGGACGGCAGGGGCGGAGGCCAGTGGAGGCCAGTATCAAGAGGGTGGGCTGTCAGAGTCGGGCGAGGGTAGGGCTAGGGGCATGTGGTCGTCTCCATGACATGCCGCCTTCCGCCGCAGCAAGACTCACGACATGTCAGAAATGTTATCAGCCCCTGGACCTGGACTGCCTCGTGGAGAATGGAGTGCCAGAAATGGCATGCAATTCATCCCGGCTGCCCGAGACGGCTCCCTGCAGCAGGGCTATCCTAAGGTCGATCCTCGGGCAATAAACACCAACTCCCGAAGCTTCCTGCATCACAGCCAGGTGTGGGACGTCGGTCTTTTTACCCGAAACGCGAGGCGGGGGAGGACGATCCTCTGGTGGTGCAAATGTTTTCCCGCCTTTCATATCAGGGGATTCCAGCCATGGAGGGTACCAAGGGCGGTGGATGCAACATCGGGCATGCCTCGCCATATTGGGGACCCAACTTGGGGCACCTTCGCACCTCGTTGATCTCGGACTGCGTCGGTCCTGCATCTGTCGCGGGGCGAGAGATCGCGGGGTCCCGAGATTGGGGCATCCATGGGGCTGGGCCAGGGTCGGGGAGCGGAGGCTCGGAGGATAGGCCCCGGGTGCCGAAAGGAGCATCTCTGCCTTGGTGCATCA